TGACTTCTCTATTCTTTGTTGGCAAGTTTTTCTTGAGTATTGCCGTTTAGCATGACAAGACACTTCATTACCCGCCATGTGGAATACAGTGCATGTGGAGCCATGCGGAGTACAGAGGATTCTATACAGCTGTAAACCACCAGTGAAGTATGAAATAAGCCGTTCACTCTGACGAGCCGACGTCAGACTTGTTCTGAATGCTCAGATTATCACTTCTGTCTCGACTGAAATGCAATTTGTTTTCTGTCTCAGAAAGTTTGAAAAAAAAAAAGAAAATAGAATGGCGAACAGGAAGTTGGTGGCTTATTAGAATGCAAATGCGCTCTGGGGCTGTGATTTTGCACGCCATTATCAGTAGCCATCACTGGGAGAAAGAGTCACCACTGTGACTCATTCAGAGAAACATGACATTTAGGAGATAATCGGTCTGCCTTTTTGCAGTTGTTGTTCAACTTTTCAGTGGTGTGGAACCCTCTCACACTTATACAGAGGCTATCTGAGCTGCTGAGCAGGCCTCCTCCTGTCTGTGGCAGGGCTTTGCTGAAAAGAACTGTGGAATATGAGCATGTGATACAAATCCATATCAAAGTGGTTTAAATTTCAAATGTACAGTGTGTATTCTGATGGATTCCTTCTGTGTCACTATTTTGGAAATGAGGAAGTATATTGTATCCTGTTGGCTCATAATAATCAGCTAATCTGGAAAAACACTCACGCAAGCATGAAGCAAGATGAGGAGGGCAGAGGCCTCATCTCTGCTCGTGGGAGATTTTTATTTTATTATTTTTTGCAGTAGATGGTGTGGTAAATTTAGTTTATCACTGTGTCAAATACATTTCCAAGATGATTGAGAGAGAGACACATACACCCCCTCACTGTGTGAACATTATATCCAGACAGTTTGTGCTGCATAATTTAACTCCATCTGTGAAGAAATGCGGAGCTAGAGGAGAAGAAAGGCGTGAGGAATCTGGTCTCCTGTGTTCTCATTGCCACTTTTCATACTGAAGCTAGGTGGTAAAATAACACATCTATCAGAGACATACAGGCTTTTATGGTAAAGAAAGGTATAGGAAGGTGTTAAAAATCCTGTTGGTTCAAATACTGTGCTTGCTGCTCTGTATTCACTGTACAAAAGCTTCTTTTTATTTGCTGTTCTAAACACTTGGTTTTAGGCATTTCCTGATAGAAATGTCCTTCTTAGTGGCAGTGATACATAAAAAAAAAATGATTGTAAAATCAGCTCTTACCAAAGAAAGCAGAGATCTGAATGTTAAGTCCTGAAACCAGTGCAGACAAAGTACAGAAGAAAGAGCCAACATTTAGACTCAGACTAGGCTTATTCAGAATCAGATTATCACATTTAAAACTGTTAGTAAAGCAGTTTTGTGTAAATTGATCCACAACTAATAGCAGCTTTTCATGGAGGACTTCGAGCCACCAACTGCTCTGTTGCGCCTCCTAGTTTGTTAACAAAACACCCCCTTTAAATTTAGTAAGGTACATTCACTGAGCGCACTTTTTCAGCAAGGCCTTGCACACTCATCTGGAAGGTGTACAGGAAAAACACCGTCTCGGGTCACTGAACAGCTCCACTGAGGCATTTGTTGATGAGGTGCTTTGCTCAATGGCACTGCAGCAATATTTATCCTTTCAGTCTGGGGATCAAAATAGCTACCTTCCAGCCACACACCTGCCTCCTTAAACTTCAAGGAAGGGTGCAGTGAGCCTTACATATTTTTCTCGTAACAATAAATGTATCATTGAAATAAGATCTAATAATTTAATTACAAGAGCTAATCCCTTTGTTGATCATTATCTTTTTGAGCTTCACTTTTTGCTTCACAACCACCTGCGGATAACGAAAATAAAAGAAAAACAAATTCATAAAGGAAAAATAAACTAATATAATGAAATAATTTGTAGAGGATTTTGTTGGTTAAGCCAAACTTCCTTGTGTATGTCACCAGTAAACTACAGAAGCAGGCGAGCTCTGTGCAGAGCAATAATAGCTACACTAATTAAAGTGGGCTCGATCCTCCTCACCTCCAGTTTGAGTGTGTACAAAGGCCAGGGTTGTAGCTGGAGTTGAAGCCCAGTTAATGAGGTTTGCTCTGGAGCGGCAGTGCTGCAGTGTGATGTTGTTTCACCAGGTTTTTGCCAGGCGCCTCCTCTCCGTTGACCTCGGCTCATTACCGCTCATGAGAAGAGGTGACAGTGGCGCTGGGACCCCTGTGGTCCGATTCATTACCCTGCATCCTGCACCCTGCTTCCCCCAGGAACATGCCACTTCCACAGATTCAAGGTGATGGTGAGAGATAGAAACAGAGGAGGAAGAGTGATAAAATGAGGGGGAGAAGGAAAGAGAAATGAGCATAGAAATTATCTGCTGGGAGGAGTCACGCTATAGCAAGTCTAATTAGCAAACTCCCTTAATTTCTGATACATTCAGGAAATATTGTCTCTGGCAGCGGATGACAAAAGCCTGGCAGAGTTGCAGGAGGACATCACTGTGAGGAAACAAACTTGGAGGACCAATACTGTCATTTGAACATCAACTGTGTGATGCAGAATACCCACAATGTATGTTCTGACCGCAGTATAATCAAGTGTAAAATTCAGTGTTGACAGGCCTGTGTTTAAAAACCTTTCAACACAAAGGATTACGCAAATGCCAAAAAAAAAGGCTCCAGGCTTCGAGCTGTCCTGTGTGGAAGTGTAATTATATCAGTGTCTCCATACGAAGCAGCAAAGTGAGGTGCAGAAAGCCCGACACATCATCTCTCAGTAGCGCTAAATTAGCTTTTTCGGAGTGTCATATCGAGTTGTTGGACTCATCCTCAGCAGGAATCTGTCCCTCCTTTTTTTTTGCTCTCTTTTTTTTTGGCCCCCTCTACCTGTCAGCTCCCATATCACTTCTGCAGTGTCAGCCGAGGCCTTTCACCCTGCAGAGCATTGCGGGAGCCCTGTTCCACTCTCCCTGTGGCAGCTTGTCATCGGCATACAACCCATCCTATCACTTCCTCCCTCTGTCTCTTTATTTTCCATTTCCCTCTCTTTTCCCCGGCATGTTTTTAAAGCAAGCCAAAAGAGCAAGCAGATGACCTACACTCGCTGGCCTATGACTCGCTCACACAGCTCTTAATTCCTTGTCTCTCCATCCACTCCCCCCCCCAGGTCTCTTCCCTTGTCTGTTTCATTTGATCCCACAGTCTGTTTTCTTGTACACATTGCAGCATCATCCTCACTCTGAGGTCACAGAGTGAGACGCCACCGAACGCTCTCCCTTATACCCCTTCTCATGCCCCTGCCAGCTCTGCTCTGTGAGATTCAGGAGACAGATTGAGGAGATGCACTGCTAAGGAGGATCTGGCATAATTTCTTAATAATCAAGATACAATTATCATAGTTATCATTTTATTGTTATAGCCAATCCTAGCCTGGCATTGTCAGACAAATTTGCATGAAACATCTCAGTTTATTTTTGATTTCCAAAGGGCATTATCAATGGGCGGAGACCAAAATGCCTCTGGATGCAATTAGATAGACATACACCCAGTCAAAGCAATGAAACATGTAACGTAGTGTAGTTGTTAAATTAAACTTACCAGACTCCTGTTGATAGTACAGCAAAGTGCAATTGTTTGTTCGTCTATTTTAGAGAAAATATACCGTCCAGTTCTTTTATTACTGACGTGACAGTGGAGTCAGTTCTAATTCAGCAGCCGCCATTGGTTGTTTATAAACATTTCTCAACAGTGTCCCTCTGTCAGTCATCTTGTCAAACCCACCCTATATTTGAGAAATGGTTGAATCCGTTCCGAATCCAGGAAGGATGTAAATCTGTCTGAATGGGAGGAGAGCCAGATGTACCTGCCAGAGGAAATGAAACATGATCTCGCAGACTTGTCTTTTTCTAAGGCTACATCAATCATGTTAATTGGTGCTGAAGTTAATTCAGATCTGCAAATGTAATGATATAGCTAAAAACAAATTGAGCAGCAAACACAAGCAGTGACGTGATCAGAGAAGCTATAAACAAACCCACAGGTCAGTGAAAACAATTTCTAAAAGAAAACAATGACAAAAACCCTCAGTTTTTTGATCAGGTAGTCCCAAATCCTGGATTTTTATTTGGCTGCATTAAAGGAATATCCTACATCAGCAACATTGGGAAATGTGCTTATTCGCTTTCTCACCGAGAGTAAGATGAGAAAATCTTCAGAACTCGTGTGAACTCGTAAGTATAAAGCCTGAACCAGGAGATGCTTAGGTGAATATAAAGACTGGAATAAGGGGGAAAGAGTTCGTCTAGCAACATTAAAGTTCACTTATACCTAATTTGTCCATACCAAAACATAAAAACAAGATGTGGTTTTATGGGGAATCTTTTTGCAAGTTATACAAACACTATAACCGTCATACATGCCTTCATCTCTCGCCATCTTTATTACTGCAATGTTTATTTTAACTGCCTCAATCAGAAGCTTTGGACAAATTGTACAAAACTCTGCTGCATATATTTTAACAAGAACTAAAAGGTTTATTATAGACTTGATTTAAAGATTTGATTCTCCACTTTTAAAGCATTGCATGGCCAGACACATAGCTGAAGTTCATTTTAGCTACCAAGATCATTGAAAAATGGCCTCTTAGTTATCCCAGAGGCGAGGCAAGATTACAAAGTCTTTACTTTTAGAGCACTGCTTAGATTAATAAGACTAATTGCCTATTTTAAATGACTTAAATTATTTTAAGTGACTTATTAAATTAAACGTATCTAGCTTATACAGTATCTCACAAAAAAGTAAGTACACCCCTCACATTTTTGTAGATATTTGATTATATCTTTTCATGTGACAACACTGAAGATATGGCTCTTTGCTACAATGAACAAAGTAGTACAGCTTGTATAACAGTGTAAATTTGCTGTCCCCTCAAAATAACATCAAACAGCCATTAATGTCTAAACTGCTGGCATTTTCCAGCACTGCCTTAACCGTCTTGGGCATGGCGTTCACCAGAACTTCACAGTTTGTCACTGGAGTCCTTTTCCACTCCTCCATGGCGACATCACAGAGCTGGTGGATGTTAGAGACCTTGCGCTCCTCCACCTGAGGATGCCCCGCAGATGCTCAATAAGTTTTAGGTCTGGAGACATGCTTGGCCAGTCCATCACCTTTACCCTCAGATTCTTTAGCAAGGCAGTGGTCGTCTTGGAGATGTGTTTGAGGTCGTAATCATGTTGGAATACTGCCCTGCGGCCCAGTCTCTGAAGTGAGGAGGTCTTGCTCTGCTTCAGTATGTCACAGTACATATTGGCATTCATGGTTCCCTCAATGAACTGTAGCTCCCCAGTGCCGGCAGCACTCATGCAGCCCCAGGACCATGACACTCTGCGGCAATGCTAGCAGCACTCATACGTCTATTTCCCAAAGACAACCTCTGGATATGATGTTGAGCAGTGAGCACATGCACTCAACTTCTTTGGTCGACGATGGCTGGGTGGAATCTGTCCCGCTGTATGGTCTTGGCCACTGTGCTGCAGCTCAGTTTCAGGGTCTTGTGCAATCGTCTTCTAGCCTAGGCCATCTTTATGTAGAGCAACTTTTTTTTCCCAGATCCTCAGAGTTCTTTGCCATGAGGTGCCATGTTGAATTTCCAGTGACCAGTATGAGGTTTAACACACCTGCTCCCCATTCACACCTGAGACCTGGTAACACTAACACGTCACATGACACTGGGGAGGGAAAATGACTAATTGGGCCAAATGTGGACATTTTCACTCAGGGGTGTACTCAGTTTTGTTGCCAGCGGTTTAGACATTAATGGCTGTGTGATGTGTTATTGAGAGGACAGCAAATTTACACTGTCATACAAGCTGTACACTCACTACTTTACATTGTAGCAAAGTGTCATTTCTTCAGTGTTGTCACATGAAAAGATATAATCAAATATTTACAAAAATGTGAGGGTAGTACTCACTTTTGTGAGATACTGGATCATTTCACTCCCTCCCATTTTATGCATAATTTACCAAGGTGTTCTAACTGCCTTATTGTAGAGCTTGTTTGTATGTTCTGTTTTAATGTTACAATGTACTTTGTAACTTGATGTTTCATTTTCCATTTAAGTTGTAAAGCATTTTTACTGTGAAAAGTGTTAATAATAAAACATGTCTAATTACCATTATCAAATTATCCAAAGTGTAAATATCCATTACTGTTTACAGACTGACTTCTGGTTCAACGTTGACCTTCTGTACTCCTGTACATTGCTGGTGCATTCACTTTCAGCTGAATTAGTATGGCTAAACTGTTTGCTTGATTGCAACCTAAAACATTATAAAAATGTCCTACCACTAGAGCTTTGGTACAGTATTGTTGTAGCTGATAGAAATGATATAATGATGGCAAAAACTCTGAAAATAAAAGCCAAATTCTAATAATACCAAATTATCCTGCAGCTAAAGCTCTTATTTTTGTTGGTAAAATATGCTTTCCAAGAGCAAGTTGGGCATTTAGTAAAGTGACTACATCTCTGCTTCATTTTAACACTCGGTTTGAACCGTAGCATCTGAATGGAACCACTGCTGTGCACACTGTGAAAGGATTTTGACATCTCTCTCTTTTCTCTCCTTCCTGGTCTCTCTTCTGTTTTTTTTCTGCCTGGTTTCTCCTTTGTTTGTCACTCTTATAAACACCTCTAGATCACTACAGACAGAGGAAGCAGCACCATGTAAGAAGAGGGCAGGCAGCAGGAGCAGCGGGGAGTGCTAAACAAGACTTCTTCTGCAGGTCCCTCTCTCTAATGGGCAGGCAGTATGCTCGTAGAAGCTGTAGAAAGAGAAGTCGTGCAGGATAGTAGCTCACTTTCTCTTTCTCTAATAGGCTAGTGTATGCCAGGCAAATGAGCATGCCCTGACTGGCCAGGGTCCAGTTCCTCCCCTGCCACTGAAATGATCATGCTCATTATCTTATTTAGCTCGCGGGTCAACAAGAACAACACAGTCCTTGCTTTTTGCCAGCATCCTTCCTTTCCTGCACTTACCTCCTTTTTATTTCTCTCTGGGGATTCTATGCCATCTGGTATAGTCTGTGCTGGTGAAATAGGGGGATCAAAGGGGCCTGTCCTGCAGTTGATCAAGGAAGAAATCCAGCAGGTGGCTGGCTGCCTGTCTCAGGAGTAACATGGCCAGAGGCAAGGGTTCCACACAGAAGGGGGAGGTAATCGTCATTTCTGGGTGGAGTCTTGTACAATATGTGGATTTCTTTCTGGCTCTATATGAGTAATGTTATTATTAATGTATTGCAAGAGGAGGAGGAGAAGAAGAAAGGGGGGTATTGGCTTTTAGATGTGGGGATATTTCCCCTGTGTAGACTTCCATATCCATTACCTGAAGTGCTGGCAGTCAGTGCCACAAATGGAGATCCCAGTCGCTTTTTATCATAACTCTGACGTTCAATATTAAAAATACATTAAATCATGATTGAATGTTTCATGGTGTTATTCTTTGACTGATCTAAATGTTTAGTGGCTGTATATCAATCGGGATTGGTGGATTTGTAGAGGCAAACATAAAATCTGTGCTAGCAGTTGCTACTCTAGAGGATTTTTAGTTTATTCTCAAACTCCCTTACATATCCTTAAAAACAAGGCAATTTGACTTGGAGAGCCTGGAGCCATGAGCCAGAGTGTGGTGTAAAGTGTACATCTTGACTCGACTCACATTAATATCAGGTGTTCCCTTCCGTTATCTCTGCAGCTAGCTAACTAATTGTGGCCTCCAGGGGAAGAGCCCGTCATGAGCGCTGACCCTACATGCCTCCATATCAAACAAGATAACTGCACATTGAACATCAGAAAATAAGTGCTGATGGCTGATGGCTGCTGACAAAGAATCAGATAGGACGCATCACTCATCCAACGCAGTCCCAATTGTGATCTACAGTATAAATTAACTGTGCTGGAAAATGGCTGCAGCCTTAGAAACGGCTGCTGCCAGTGAGATGGAGTTTTCTGAAGGGGCAGGCAGCAATCTCACTGGGGATTTAGCTCTGCTTCCAGTGTCCAGATCAAATGAAAAATGAATCATTCTGCAGAGGGAAGAATATGATGCATGACTAAAGGGGATGAGGAAGCTGGTGATGGAGGAGGAAAACTGTAAATGTAAACTAACTCTTAGAGGATGGAGACCAACATGTACTGTAAGGTAAAGACAACATTTAAGGAGAATAGAAAGTTCTATGAAAGCCATGAATCATCATCAATCCCTGCCCGATGGTGAGCAATCATTGCAAATTGCATCTTTGCTATCCGCTTCAGACACCTCAAAAACCTCCACACCACAGACATACTCACGTTGCATAAGCATCATCTTTTCAACCTGTCATATCAGCAGAAATGTTCATTTGCCAAAGCCTTTTTCTTTCCATACCGACGAGGTGCCATTACTATCGTGCATCCTGAGTTGAAAGTGTACATCCCATTCTGATTTCCAGGTTATGTTATCTTTGTGTAGTTTGTTCAGTGTTTCCTCTTTTACTTTGTTACTCACCTCTCCTCACGTTTCAGGGGTGGGGCTTGCCTTGCAGTGAATTTCTGAATGTATGAGTAGAGGCTACTGGCTTTAACTGGTGAATGACGGCTGTTTTTCTACTACTGCTCCTCTCTCTCCAATAAATCACAATCAACAGTCAAATAGCCACACATGTCTCGCCGATGTCCGTCAGAGATGTACTTCGGCATTAAATGTTAAATAATTCAATAAATGTAAATAGCATTCAGTGTGCAGCGGCGTGTTTACAGTGAACAGCTGATGGAGTTACGTTAAATACTAGGTCCAGAGTTGTTTTAAGTTTTCATCAGTCAGAAAGTTTTTACACAAAGCTAAAGTCGGTCTCTTCCTCTCCAAAACAAGCGGAACGGCTGATTACAACAGGCAATAAAGCTTGTTAAACATCACATTCCTCTGATGCTCAGACGGACACAGACATGAGTACTGCAGCAGATCTGCAGCTCTTGTCGGCTGGAAATGTTTTAATAACCTTCCAAACTGTCGAGATTTTATTTTTGTGTTGCTTTCTCTTTTGCTGGAGTTATTTTAAGAACTTGATGGCTTTATCCAGTTTGTTATTAAATTTGTAAAAACTTTGTGTGTCTCTCCATTATACTCAGCTGCTTTAATGGTCAAGCATAGCCTATAGTTTGTCATTATATTCCAATCAAATCTTATGTTCATTTATAAATTTTACTCATGGACAGTGATTACAAATAGTGATGCCTGTGCATCGCTTTGTATGGCGTACAGGCCCACAGCCTGATTTGCCTAATCTTCGCAGATCTTTAGATCACGGTGGAAACGCACAAAACAGTGGGCTGAAGGAACCTTTCAGTTCCTTGAAAAGAGATCTGGGTCCACGGTACTTTTGATCGAAACATGGCTATATTTTCACCTATCCCTCATTAGCCTCAACCTTGTAGTGAAATTAGTTTCTGTTCTTCTCATTCAGTGCCAGTCAGTCCCATTGTTTAGCTTTCCACCATTGTTCCCTCGTGTTTTGTATTACCTCAGTTTTTTAGACTTTGCCTGTTTCCCTGACTTCACTTTTTTTGCCTTTGCTGCCTTCTCCCTGCTGGATTTGTTGGCCTGTCTCTGATTGACCACCTGTGTACTGAACCTGTTTTTGGCAAGTAAAGGCTGACTTTAACAGAAATCCTGCCTCTGATTCATGCTCTTGAGTCCTTTCCTTGTGATTTCATCAGTTGGTACAATTATAATGTACATTAAAATTTAAAACTCTTAATGGATTATTTTATCGGAACCAGGTGTTACTGGAGTTCATACATTTGTTAAAAGGGCACAGGTCCCTTGATCTCTTGAGTGTATGTCCTTTTGATGTTACTCGAAGCTTCAATCTGCAGCCAATGTGTAGTTATATTATTGAATTTTAAAAGTAAGGATGTGGTTTGGGATGCAAAATGGCACAAGGCAAAAATGTTTGAGGCGAAAATGACCTGGGAGAGTAAAGCTTAGACCCTGGATTGTCATACATTTCTGAGCTATGTGGAAAAACAGGCCGTAAAGACTCAAAAGTATTAAAAAAACACACAA